GCACGTTGACAATTATCCGAAAGCGCACGCATCTAACACGACGAATCCAGAATTAGAGCAGACGAAATGACTATTCGAGACGATCGACATACGAACGACAACGAGCCTCGCTACCCTACACCTTTCTTCGCCGCAATTAATGACGAGCGCGCTCGTATACATCCGCGATAATGGGAACAGGCTAATTAAGTGTCGGGCGCTGTTGGATACGGGCGCTACGGCGAATTTTATATCTGAGTCAATTGCGAAACATCTAAACGTGGATACACATTCTTTACCGATTAATGCAATTAATGGGACGAGTACCGAGTCGAAAGGCATAGCTCAGGTGAAAGTACGTTCTATTTACGATAATTTCTGCAAAGATTTGACATGCTTGACAGTTCCGGCGATAGCGGATTTAGTTCCCTCTGAAGTTTTTCCACGCGACTCGATCAAAATTCCACCGAACGTCAGTTTAGCGGATCCGGAATTCCATTTACCACGTCCCATCGATATATTAATAGGTTCGGTAGCGACAGTATCGATGTTCATGGTCGGTCAAATCGATCTCTCACGAAAAGGTTACGAGTTGTACTTACAAAAAACACGATTAGGATGGGTCGTTGCCGGGGGCGCGTCCTCGCGTGGTCCATCGAGAGTCTCGACGTACCATACAACGAGTCTAGAAGAGTTAATGCTCAAATTCTGGACGATTGAAGAAGTCACGACGGATAAATTATTATCGGAAGAAGAGCGTGAATGCGAAACGTATTTTCTAAAAACGGTCTCACGCGGTGATGACGGTCGCTATACGGTTCGCCTACCGTTCCGTAATACAAAAAATCATTTAGGCGAATCACGCAGCATCGCGCTTAAGCGCTTATTATCCTTGGAACGTAGATTAAACACGAACGCGACATTAAAGATAGAATATGATCGGGTGTTAGATGAATATTTAAAATTAAATCATATGTCCGTGATAAAGGATCAAGGGGGAGAAGGTTACTATCTGCCGCATCATGCGGTAATTAAAGAAGCGAGTGACACTACGAAAACGCGAATTGTGTTTGACGCTTCGGCAAAAACAAGCAACGGGACATCTTTGAACGATTTATTAATGACAGGCCCCACGATTCAACCCGGCTTGATCGCGCACTTAATTCGGTTTCGTACGTACAATTACGTCGTCACGGCGGACATTGAAAAAATGTACCGACAAGTGACATTACACGAGGATGATCGACAATATCAAAAAATCCTGTGGCGTCGCGACGGTAAAGTAGAGACGCTTCAGTTAAATACGCTCACTTTCGGCGTTTCTTCCTCGCCATTTTTAGCGATCCGAACTGTTCAAAAACTCGCGGAAGATGAACTGCTTACTTTTCCGAGGGCAGCCAGAATTATTAAATCACATATGTATGTGGATGACTTGCTAACCGGGGCGGAAACAATCGATGAAGTCCGAGCCATCAGAAACGAAGTAATCGCTTTATTAGCTCGGGGCGGATTCGCCATTCGGCAATGGGCGTCTAATGATGAACGCATCGTGAATGATTTGATGGCCAGCGCGTTGCGCACTAATTTCGTATTGAATTTAGATCAAACATTAAAAACGCTCGGGATCACGTGGAGCACCCGAGATGACCAAATATGTTATTCGACTAATCCAATTAGAAGTTCTGAAAAATTGACAAAAAGAATTATTTTATCAGAAATTGCCAAAATTTTTGATCCTCTCGGCTTGCTAGGACCGATAATAATGTACGCGAAAAAATTAATACGAAACGTATGGCGGTGTACATTACACTGGGATGAATCAATCCCACAGAATATACATACGGCTTGGTCAACATTTACAAAACAGTGGGAAACAATGAACACGATTTACTTCGATCGCAAATTACTCGTAGGAAATTGCAACAACATCCAGATTCACGGTTTTTGCGATGCAAGTAATATAGGTTACGGAGCATGCATATACGTGCGCTCGCGCGGGGGGAAAGGCGAGACGCGGGTTAGATTATTGTGTGCTAAATCGCGAGTCGCTCCATTGAAGACCGTCTCTACGCCGCGGCTCGAGTTATGCGGCGCGTTGTTATTGGCGCAATTGTATCGCGAAACCAGCAATGCATTAGATCGGGTCGTTCAGCGGAGCGTTTTCTGGTGTGACTCAACCGTTGTCTTACATTGGCTAAAGACGCCCGCGCACCTATTAAAAACATATGTAGCAAATCGCGTCGTAAGCATCCAAGAAATCACAGGTTCGAAGGAATGGCGACACGTTAGATCGGAAGATAATCCCGCGGATGCGATCTCGAGAGGGCAATTACCTCTCGACTTCTCGCGGAATCGAATGTGGTTCACCGGACCCTCGTGGTTAACGAATGATGAATCTGAATGGCCGAATGAGAGTGTACATATGAAGGAGATCCCTGAACTAAAAAGAAACACATGCTTAACAACTATAAATAAAAATCTTGATATCTTCGACAAATTCTCTTCCTATTCCAAATTACTGCGAGTCATTGCTTATTGTCTTCGCGTTCGGCATCGTAATAAATATTGTGGACCATTAGATACGAAAGAAATCAACGAAGCTGAAATCCGAGTTTTAAAATTATTGCAGGATAACCAATTTAGTGGGGAAATCAAAATATTGAATAAAGCCTCGAACATCAAAGGTAAATTTGCAAACTTAAATCCATTTTTAGACGAAAACGAATTGATACGAGTTGGGGGTCGCCTTCAGATGTCAAAACTCACGTCCGCGCAAAAACATCCAATATTGCTTCCCAGTAGGCACCATGTAACGGATTGTATTATCCGCGAGACGCACGAAAAACATCATCATGCGGGCATACAGACCACTCTATATATTGTGCGTCAAAAATTTTGGTTACCGGACGGCCGCAACCAAGTACGAAAAATCATCCGATCATGTACGCGTTGCGTCCGTTTCGCAGCAAAGACAATCGAGTATAAAATGGGTAATCTTCCGGCGTCTAGAGTCCGCGCGGCTATACCGTTCACACAAACCGGGGTAGACTTTTGCGGCCCATTTTACATTAAAGAAAGGAAGTTCCGCAATCGAACGCGAATTAAAGTTTATGTATGCGTATTCGTGTGCATGTCTATAAAAGCAATACATTTGGAAGTCGTAAGTGACTTAACCTCTGAGGGATTCCTAGCTGCATTGCGTAGGTTCGCGGCCAGGCGTGGTGTGCCGGAGCACATCTATTCTGATAACGGCACCAACTTTATAGGTGCCAATAATGATCTTAAGGAACTGTACGCGTTATTCAATTCCGAAGAGCATAAAACTCTTGTAAATCGATTCGCAATCGAGCATCGAATAACGTGGCATTTTATTCCGCCAGTGACGCCTCATTTCGGCGGGTTATGGGAGTCATCCGTAAAATTGTTTAAACATCATTTCAAGCGAGTGGTGGGAGACTCTCTATTCACATTCGAACAACTAAATACGTTCACTACCGAAATCGAGGGTGTCTTGAATTCACGACCTATTACTTCAATCTCTTCGGATCCGAATGACTTGCTGGCATTATCTCCGGCGCATTATTTAATCGGCAAGCCTATAACGTCCCTGCCGGAGGGCAATCTGTTATCGATTCCAGACAATCGTCTCTCCACATGGCAACACATATTAAAGGTTCGGCAGGACTTCTGGGCGCGATGGAGCCTGGAGTATTTAAACGAGCTTCAAAAACGTGCCAAATGGAACAAAGATGGGTCAACGCTCAACAACGGAGATGTCGTACTCATTAAAGAGAAGAATCTACCATGTACTCAATGGGCGCTGGGCCGGATTTTGGCGCAACACCCAGGCAAAGACGGGGTGACACGCGTAGCCACCATCAAGACGGCGACCGGAGAGATCAAGAGATCTACGACATTGCTATGTCCACTCCCAGTTGAAAGATAATGCACGTCATATACCCACTTTTGTAATCAGTATCATTATAAATTATACGAAATCTATTTGTAATAACATGCGATTAAAACGACACTTGATCGGTACACCCTCTCAACGAGGGGAGTATATGTTGCGTAGAGCTCTACATAATATTAATGCGAACAACAATCTTAATGGTGATCGGACAACGC